ATAGAGTTTGTGTCTATGTTGTTTTTTTAGTATATTGTTTAGTTTTGCAATAGAAAATAATCTTAAAATAGCCATTGGTCTATTACAACACAAAACTAATCAAGACATGAAAAGGCAATATGTTTTTGAACATTAAAATAAAATAAGAAGATGTGGTATGATTGCCAATGAGGCAACTATCAACCAAAGTTCGAATAAAGTGAATGTAAGCAATTATAGGCAACCGTACGGCCTTCAACAATGAGTAAAACCCATACCGTATAGTCGGCTATAAAAGGTCCCGACATGAAAAATATCAAACAAAACAACTTATGAAAAACAAATATGATAGACATACACCAACGCGACCACTGAACTACAGGCTCCTGACTTGGGACAGGCACATATAGAATGTGGTGGGGTTAAACACGTTGAAGGCAGTTATTGATTTATTTGAATACTATAGGCTTAATATTGTCAAGTATTGTCCCGAGTAGATTTTAATATTACACGAGCGCTTACGAGTGCAATCTAAAAAAATATTGTATTCTACTAAGGATAATAATCACCATTATGCATGCGTGTCGAAGGCCTCACTGTGACTTTGAGATGAAGAACAGCAATAAAAGCGCTGTTCCTTTGCTTTTTGTGGTTTTTTTTTGTTGCTGTGCATGAACTGATTTTGTGTCATGGATGGATACCCCACATCCTTTGTTTTTCTATTAAAGGATTTTTAAAGACAAACACCGCAGTCTACAGAAAACCAAAGAGTGGAGCACACAAACTAATTCAGTTCAGATCAGTTCAGTTTCTTGTATGTTCCTCCATTAATTGTGGAGCACTACCCATAGGGTATAATTGTAGCAACTATATACACCTTAAAACATAAGGGAACATATAAACTTATGTACAGATAAATGAATAAAGGCAATATCATTAATTAATTCATGGATAGTATTTACAGTTTTAAACCATAAAATTAACTAATCATAATGTGCTCAGGTGTAAGTAAAAGTTATGTAGGAACTGAATATAATCAACAAACCAGGGGGGGGGGGGGAGTTATGGTTTTTTCCTAAAAAAATATTCTGATCCCCAATTTGATGAGAAAAAAAATATTGTGGTCAAGCAGATGACCAAAAAAAAATATTCTGAATCCAGATTTTCCCCATACCGTATAGTGTTTAATTTTGAAATTTTTGAAGTTTTAAATCTGACTTAGACAAAAAAACATAACCCCCTTCCCCCCCTTTTTGAAGTTGCTCCTTTAATGCTCGGGATTTTCCAAATTTGTGTTTTTTGTATTTATAAAAGTAAAGATCCAAGTTGAACTATTATAATAAACGACGATATATTTTCACGTTATTCTTCACAGTTTCAACACTCGGAAGTCGCAAACATCAGTCTCTCGTGATGGTTCTTTGTAGTAACCAGAAGTACAGTTAAGTAATGATTTCCTGAGTTTATCCTCGTACCAAATAGGGGGTGTATTATTCGATCATTGATTTTTTAAACTTTTATGTGGTAATCTTTTTTTACTTTTGCATTGGCACTGATTTAGTTCTATGAATGCCTTCTTGGTATATTAATTCTTTTCCGAGCTGCAAAAATGGCGCGAAAAGATGTTTGAATAAAAATTTTAAATCTTGCAGTTATTCACGCTATAAAAACAGTTGGTAGAAATTATTTAACAATTTACCTGAAAAATGTTGTTGTCCGAGAGTAAATAGGTTTCCGATCGCCTTTAAAAGAATAAACATATTCACTCAGAAATTAAAGAAAATGATAACTTCAGATAGAAAGAAGGTGATTTTATTTGTACTCCGCTTAGTTCCTTATTGTATTTACTTCAACGATCAGCAGTTGCTAATTTATTTTTATTGTCAATTATTAGTATTACGTTTTATTATAATGTAATTAATTATGTTAACCGTTTTGAATGTTGTCTATAATTATATGCTCTGTAGGAAACGCTATAATGTTGATGGGACACGTATTTCAACGGTTTTGATTTAACTCAGATCACGTGGGTGAGACACGAATTTCTTATTGTTTATTGTTTGTTTACTACAGAGCATGTAGATGGGACACGTACACGTATTCCTACTCATTTGTGACCTCAGAGCACTTGGGTGGGACATGTATTATTACTGGGTTGTATACCTCAGAGTATTTGCACGACATACGAATGTCTTATGGTCCGGAAACTACAGAGTAAGGGTAAACTATAATGTAAAACCTGAACGTGGATGAGATGCAAATTTAGTGTCTGTTAACAACATAGCAAGATCGAATATTTTTTATGAATATAAGAAATATCTGTAGAAATGCAATATAGAAATGGTTACAGAACATGTGTAGAAACGAAATTCTAATGATTTTAAGTCGAGCTGGGTCAGACCAAACACTTTACAATTACAAAAATGCTGCTCCAATGACTTAATTTGAATAAAGGGCAAATATAAGTTGGTCTTGAGTCAAATAAATGTATCCAGATTAAGTTAGCATCTCGTAGATAATAATTGGACAGTGTGTTGGTCTCCGTGTTGAAGGCCGTACTTTGACCTATAATGGTTTACTTTTACAAATTGTGACTTGGATGGAGAGTTGTCTCATTGGCACTCATACCACATCTTCTTATATCTATATATTATACACCAGTATATATATTTAAATGAATTTATATTTCGACCTGCTAGTCAAATACGTTTTGTTAAAATATACTTTTTCACTTTTTTGGTCTTTTGGAAAATGTTGTTTGTGCTGTATTTAGACCCCTCTACCAAGAAATTTGTTTTGCATGCACACGTATAAAAATTGCGGTTTTTATCCAACGCAGTCATAGGTTTGAACGTTGTTTTCAATTTAGACTTGTTTATATGACTTTATATATATATATATAAATCAGTATTTATCATGTTAATACAAAAGATAAATGTGTTATACATATAAGCTTATTCAAAGATTTCTCTTTGGAGGTGCAATAAAAGTAGAAGTGAACTGAAATTTAGAATTATAGTGTACGACATTTACATAGAATTCTTGAACATGTTGGCATGGTGCCTACTGATTTCTTTTTTTTATATTAAACGAAAAAAAAATTGAACTTTTTTCATTGTGGACTGGTTTTTCTCTCCGGGTACTCTGACTTTCTCTGCCAATAATATGAAAAAGACAAGGGCGCTGAAAGTGGTGTTAAGCACCAACAAATAAACAAACAAAACGGGGACGTTAAAATCAATAAGTCGTGTAGAGAAAGTGTCATGCTCTTTGTACGTTAAATAGTCCTTGCTACAACACTTTGAGAAGTCCGTAGAAGGATTGTTGCAGGACAATTCGTTAACCCCTATCTAACGTTTTTCAAAATTTTCTAGTGGAGTCTAAATTCCCTGCTGTTCATCCGGGTAGACGATTTGATTAATTGAATTCATTTAAGGGGTACAGAACACCTAAAGGGAGTTAACTCTTCAATATCGGCTGCACGTTTTAATCAATTACTATTAGTAAAGGGAAATCAAGCTTCTCAATGATCAATATTAATGTTTGTCAAACTGCTACATATCCTTGTAAATTGTGTGGCTCAAATTTCTTGAAATTTGTCAACAGGTCAAGCTTCTCAAATTGTATGAAAATTAAACGAGCCAAATCTTTTTTGGTCAAAGTGTTGGGTACTCCCTTAGGGAGCTACCATTTGATTTTTATGGGGGGGGGGGGGGGGGGGGCTAGGATGAAATTTGAAAAAAATAGGCAGGACAGGAGTTTTGAGTAAAAAATAAAGGCAGGATGAGACACTCTGCAAAAAAAAAAAATGGCAGGATGAGACACTCTGCAAAAAAAAAGAAGGCAGGATAAACTAAAAAAAAAAAGGCAGGACCGAATAGAGTGAAAAATAAAAAGGCAGGACAGAGATTACAACTAAAAAAATAAATGCAGGACAAAATTTTTCATCCTAGCCCCCCATAAAAATCAAATGGCAGCTCCCTTATTGAACAATGTTTCAAACTTATAACATAAACCACATCTCCTATACTATAAAATGTTTTAGACTGTAAATGTCAGTAATTTAAATCATAATGATTTATTGATTGATTGTTGATTGATTGTTGTTTAGCTTTCTGTGGCAAATATTTCATGTATCTTCAGGACTTTACAGACCCTAACTCTTTGGTTTGCTGTAAATTTGTTTTGTCCTGAAAGTGTGCATAAGATATTTGACATATGAGGTAAACATACAATTTTTAGGAGTAATGATTGAATATTTGGTTAAATATTGTTAGCTTAATGTCCAGTGGTAAATCAATCATGCATATTCTAAACGATCGAAATAATTAAATTCATCAGTTAATATATTCAATCAATCTGATCGTTCTGAATATGCATGAACGATTTGCCACTGGACAATAAGCAAACAAAATTCAATCAATTATTGAAACATTACTCTTAAAATTATCAAAAGAATATACAGACCGATAAAATATTTACATGTCAGTTGCTTATATCATTGCAGCATTATACATATTATTCCCCGTTCCTTCCTTTCGCGTGTTAAATCGTCGTTAATCAATCCGTTAATCTTTCTTTCGAGCATTAAACTGCCATCTATCAATCAATCAATTAATCAATTAATCTGTTTTTAGTTAAAAGATAAATAACACTTTTCTACACAATTAATGAAAGATGTAATTATATAAGAACCTCAGCAACAAGAAAATATTAATATAAAAACTGATTCTCTAAAATACTCAACGAAGGTTATTTTTTTTCCACATGGTAACGACTGATTCTATTCGTGCCAAATAATGATTTATATTTCTCTTGAAGTCTTATTAAATAGAATTTTGACGAAATATGTTAATTTTTATTTTTCCGTTTTTTATCGGTGATTATGAAAAGTTACTGGTAGTTTTTGTATCTGATTACCTGTTTTTTGTTTGTTTTGCCTTTGTGTGTTCGGCTTATATTCATTATCTCATATTACTTTTTATATATACAATGTATTATGTCTTGTTTTTATTTTTCAGGATTTTGCTTTTATACAAGAAGATTATAATCGCTGGGGCCATTAGGCGATAGAAAAGCTTAACGAAAACGACGGGAAAGAGATATGTAAATAGGTACACAGAACGATATATTTTTGGTGCACAAGTACCTTATATTGGTATGCAGGACTTAGTAACCACAACTATCACGAGAATCGTTCAAATGAATAAAACTAAAAACGACCAGATATTTCCTTTACTTTATCACAAATGTTTGTCTGAACTTTAGCTTGTAGAATTGATTCGACATATTTTGAGCTATTTACCCTTCCGAAACACGAGGTTAGTCGGTTTTTAGTGGGTTCATATTAATCCAACAATAGTAAAGGCAATGGCCATTAATCGACGGGAGGCCTATAATCATAAGCTTGTCTGTGCGTCCATCCGTCCGTCCGTCCGTCCATAACAAATCGTTCCCACTTTTAAACTCTTGGAGTTCGGTAATGCAACTTGGCATGAGTATTGCTAACTAATAAAAGGTGTGCCGCGAACATACTTCATACTGCAAGGGCTACATATTTTTAGGAACAACCAATCTTGCTTGCATATTGTGTAGTTTCTAGAAACAATTATTCACAACTACACTACACTGGGTATAAATAAAATGAAAGGTTTTAGGGCGTTACTTATGGTTATAGCCGTCTAAAGGCAAGACCGTGTATGGAAAGGCAATCGCACAAGTCCCGCATACACCATCCATCCTTTGACAAATCAATGTGCGCAAGTTCTTTACATAAAATATACAATATGTGTTTGTTTATTTGATAATTATTTACGTTTCTGATATCGACAGTTTATTGGTTACAGATTTAAAGGTTATGCATGTTCCCCCACGTGCAGAGCATGTGATTTTCATTATCTAAGCTGCTAAAGTAATGGAGAAGAGTCAACATTTTAATTGAGTTGTATAATTTTCAAATGTATTACCCCGTACACAACTCAAGATTGGTCGTTAATCTTTGTGTGCCATCAATGGATATGTTTAGGTTTTTTTTTTGCACTTTGCAAAAAAGAGCTATGCGATATCAATAAAGATGTATTTCAACGGTGGACGTGTTTTGTGGTTTTCATTGTACGACTTTCGTGTCTTGAGTGTATTTCTATGTGTCAAGTTTTCTAATTTTATACAGATTTGTGTCTCGTTTTGATGTGATTGTTTTTACTCTCGTAGGCATGTTTACGAATTAAACTGAAATTGATCACTTTTTAAGTCTTTCAAATTTAAAAACAATTAATGCACTCTTAAGCATCAATCAGCTGTTTCGTAGACTATAATTCTTTGTTTAGTCGCCCTTAGCTCATCGGATCAAAGGGTTTCCGAATAAAACGAGACTTCAAAACGTAGTTTAACGTTACTTTATTAGTTACACAAACAGAGATAACAATTTGACATTAAGTATTCCTATATCTGACCGATGAGAACAAATTAGTTTACCATGTGACATAATCCGATAACTAAGACACTTATACTAGTTAATTCACAGTTAAATCCGTGTCCAGTTGCAATTTATTCCAGGTAAATAGACGTATATACAAATATGTGTAAACATTTAGTATCATCATATCTCAACGGAACGATTTACAAATTGATCTTATAATAGTTGTGATGGTATGTGACAGATCCCCTCTGTCAAATTGTTAGATATCCTCAATGAGACCGTCAGAACGATGGTACATTGTTTTACGCGACTGTTTTCACATTACAGACAGGTTTGAGAAGAATCGAACCCGAGAATCCTGCAACATCGTCAACATGTCACTGTTAGGTTAATTGGTAATTTAAAAAGAATTACATGTACGAAAGGATAACCTTTTTTTATCTTTTAAAATGAAAAATGAAAAAAGTATTATTAATCTATCAATTTGACATAAAATTATTCAGATGTTTAAAAAGATATTAGTCTATAACGAGATATCTGTATTTTTTTATCTTTGACTCGCATTTTTGGCCTTTTTGCTTTTTAAATTAGGGAAAACAGCTTTAACTGTTAATTTAAAAATAGTCTCATTTATATAAACTGTCATGAGTAATTCCATATGAACAACAACCTTTCCAAAATGAGATTGTGCCACAAGATGAATGATACAACGATATTTCTATGAGTAAACTATCTGTTTTGGAGTAAGACTGTTGTGAATATTTAATTTGTGCAAGTACTATGTATACAATAGTCATTTTAGGTACAATAGGTCAATCACTTTAAAAGAGAAAAGGCAGTTTGCCAATTGCGAAATCGCCTATTAAGTTATAATATCCATTCAACATTAACTTTAAGATTGATTTATTGAATATTGGTGTTTGACACCAATTCAAGCAGTCTTGTCTATAGCATGATGGCATGTTCTTTTTTTTTGTGGAAGAAACCGAACCGACCTTCGTTTTGAAAACTTACAATCCTAGTCAATTAAGTTCGGAGTCGGACATAAATTCTACGAACAGGGTTTTAACTCACAACCTCAGTTTTGACAGTCTTGTGATGGCAGTATATGAAATACTTAGACCACTGGGCCACAGAGCCCCTTTCAACTTTTTGAAACACTCTTAGAAACAAGACTTATGATAATTAAGTATGCCAGTTTCACCTACATAGGACTCAGTTGCGCTCAAATCAAATAAATGGAAGATCAATTCATATATAAAATTGAAGAGAACAGAAAAGCAAAAAATTACGAGCGGTATTAAAAAAAAAAAGAAAAAAAAAAAGCTTTCCCTAGACGACAGACATCTTACCCCCTTGTCAGTGAACCTTTCCTAGGTTTTCGAGAGATTAGATTTTTGATAGACATCAAAAGTAGTTAATTAGATACACAAACAAATACAGTAACTCGATATTTCTTGGCCATTAAAGAATTAGGTAAAAGAGAAGCGGAAGATATCAATGGAATATTCAAACTCATAAGACGTAGACGAACTGGCAGCGTCACGGCAAACATAAGTCGTAGACGAACTGACAGCTTCACGGCAAACATAAGTCGTAGACGAACTGACAGCGTCACGGCAAAAACGAAACACGACGAAAAGACAAACAAGAGACTACAAAACATATAAACTTAAGACTGAGCAACACGAACGATATTCCATGGGATTCTCGTGACAAGTATATGAACTATATATTTAGATTCTCGGACATATCGACCGCCTCGGTGGTCTCGTGGTAGCGTCTTCACCTCGAGTGTGGGATGTCGTGGGTTCGAACCCCGGCCGGGTCAAACCAAAGACTTTTAAATTGGTATTTGTTGCTTCTCCGCTAAACACGCGGCATTAAGGTGTAAGAGCAAAGACTGGTCGGCTCGGAGTCAGAATAATGTGTCCGGGTAAGGTGACATGTCTTCCTGCATGCGGACTGTTACCTTGTGCACTAGCATGTTAAAAATCCGGCCCTGCTTGTCGGTCTACTACAAAGCAGGGTTAATATTCATATTACATTAACATGTTCTCGTCATGAATATGCATATTAATTTGCCGCTGGACGTTAAGAATCCATCCATCATCGTCATCATCTCGGACATATCGTGTTTAAAAATGTCATTTATTGACAGTGTTATTATTTCGAGTGAAAATAAGAAAAAAAATGTTTTCATTCCTGTCATTAAAACCAGTTTATCTAAAATAGTTCTTCTGCTGGATTTGATTATTTACTTCTTTTTGAAAATGAACACTGAAAAAGGACTACCGTGAAGAATTAAGAGCCTCTACTCAACTCTATTAGCACTTAACATATTTGCTTAACAAAAACTACAGATAAATCAAAAGTATTAAAGACATGAAAGATAGTTTAGAGTACCACTTCAAGCCAAGTTTAATGCTATCTATTTGTACAGTAAATCCGACAGTGCAAACATCTAAATAATTGTGGTCAAAAAGCAGACGGGAAATTTTCTTTATGAATAAGTAAATTGTGTATATATGTTTTGGTTGTTTTCCGAGCCAAAAACGGTACTTTGACAATCAAAGATTAAAGAAGGAAGGCGAAAGATACCACAGGGACATAGGAAATCAAATCGAATACTCATCTCTGAATTAATCATTTTTTGATTAACTTCATAGATGTTTTAACCAGGAAACTAGATCGTTTTAGAAACCGCGAGTATGGTTCATGAATTTGAATACATGTACCTTATTTGAAGTCAGTCAGTATTGAAGTTATTACTAATATTTTAAGTTGGTCTTTGCTGTTTATTATAAATGTATATATTAAATCGCTTGGATTGAAAATCAAGGACATTCTTAGATTTCTGACTTGTTTCATTTTAAACCGTTTGAATCGACTATTTAAATGAATGGGGATCATGTTTCAGAAAAATGTAACATATTATGGATTTCATTTAATAGTCATTAAAATTAGCCTAGAAGAACAATAGAAGTTCCAAATAAAAAACAAAAATTATAGCCTTAATTCAAATTTAAGAATATATTTTCAGATTGACACCCGTGCGATATATATATTCTTTTAGTCTCTGTAAATTCGGAACCCAAGTTCAGGATTTTCTATTTCTATACTCCTAAAACTTAGAATTATCAAAAACTTACAAATTTTAATATATCTATGTTAGTTCATGGATAGATAAATATGCTATTTAAAAAATTGAAGGGTATAGATATACATTTGTGACTTTTTACATACCCCGATAAATGCTCAGATATAAAAAAAAAAAGCTCATATATTGAGACACTCGAGATCTCTTTGTGAAAGCTCACATCTTGAGCCATCCCTTTTTTGAAAGCTCACATCCTGAGACATTCTCTTTGTAAAAGTTCACATATTGAGACATTCTCTTTGTGAAAGCTCACATCGTGAGACATCCCCCTTGTGAAAGCTCACATCTTAAGACATTCATTTTGTGAAAGTTCACATCTTAAAACATTCCTTTGTGAAAGCTCATACCTCGAGACATCCCCTTTGTAAAAGCTCACATCTTAAGACATTCACGTTTTAAAAGCTCACATCTTGAGACATTCACTATTTGAAGGCGCACAGATTGAGACACTCCCTTTGTGAAAACTCACATCTTGAGACCTTCCTTTTGTGAAAGTAAGTACTTTAGCTCACCTGCATGAAATGATTTCATGTAAGAATAAATTAACTCAGTGTGTTATCTTTGTTCTACAATTTACCCTCCACTATGTATCCAAATTATGAATGAAAGAAAATCAGGAGACATAATCAATTGACTGTAATATA